CTATTTTCACATTTATGCATTTCAATACTTGGTCAAAATGAAAACTTCTGCTCAGTTGAAGAAAGTCTGCTGTGTGCCAGGGCAACAAAAACACGTTTCTTTGGCTGCACAGTCGTTACTAACTCATTAAAAAGCATCTCGTTCTCTCAGGGACAACTCTTTAACTCATTACTGCAGCAGTAATATTGAAACGAGCATCTATGAGCTGCTGGGAGAGAGAAGCCAGTGAGGCAAAGGAAAACACCACACAGACACACACAGCTCTCTCTTCCAGTCTAATGGACAATCGGACCAATTAATCGGTGACTTTGAGGGGGCCACGTGTAGCCCGGTCATTGGCCGAGCCGGAGCCGGCCGCTGATTGCCTGGCACCCCTGTCCACGTCCCCGACCGCCCACCCTGGCCCTGGAAACTGTCCAATGAGGCGACTGAAAGCAACAGCTCCTCTGTGGCCTGACCTTGTTGGAGGGCACAGAGGTTGGGAGGATGGACGGATGAATGGGTGACAACATCAGGAATATTCCAGCGCCGATCGATGGGGGATTCACAGCCGCTGATGTTTACATGCAGCGATTGGTAATGAATGGGCCGGAGCTGTGCCAGGACGTGACATTCAAACACACATGAAAGCATGAAGGTAGAATGTTTTTAACGCCACAATCGCAAGAAAGAGGGAGGTCGAGTTCAACATCTTCCACTACGTTCATCCCAGCTACTCTTCATCAGAGTTCCAACTATTTTAAATGAATCTTCAAGTAATAGTTCTGATATTTTTTTGTTTTCTTATTTGTTCCATCTTGCACGATTACCTCCAAGACAACAGGAACTAACTCTGAACTGCCCAGTACTGCTTAGTTTTCGCCGAGTTCAACTTGGTCACATCTAAAATATCAGCGTAAATTCAATTCTTCCAAATGCACCAGTCGACTAAACAAAACAAAACAAAACTCGGAGCAAGACATCGCACAACTACCAGAAGTCTCGGGCCACTACTCAGACACTAGAAATGTATGCAGACACGAACACATAGCCTTACAGGGAGCTGTTTGTCTTGGCGCGGCGCACTGCACTCTTTACAAACGGTCGGGGTAATTGGTGATACATATCTAATATCGCCAGTCATCGCCTCACTCCCTGGATGTTTCTGACAAGCAGAGAAGGAAACCCTGTAGCTTTCAAAAACAGAGCAAACACTCTGCTCCGCTCCTCCGCCTGCCCGACTCGCATCCACATCGCTGCAGCTGCCCGACTCGGTGCCTGAATGTTATTCTGTTTCCTTCGCACGCCAGGCCCTCGGAGAAGCCAAGGGGTGTCCTTACAAATTCACACAGGCAAAGAGGAGTACTTTATACTGGGAGAAAAAGAGAAAGGCCCGCTCATGTCCATGAGGGACACCCCTCCATCGCAGGCATATATGATCTGTTAGCTTTTCCTCTGCCCTTCAAGCATTACTTTTCACAGAAAGGCATGATCCAAGGCTGCAGAGAGGCTTCTCCAGAGGGCTTCTGGGTATTAAACAAAGGGGCCTGTTGGTAGGAACTAGCTCAGCCGGGCTAATAGAGTGGGACTAATTAACTACAGGGTCGCTCTCCGACTCTCCTTGTCGATGCTCGCTGGATGTTTACAAAGATCTCCCAGAGAAAGGGAGGAGGAAAAAAATAAGAGGCTTTCTTCTTTGTCTGCTCTTTAGGGAGAAAGAAGACACCCAGGACTGATTTTAATGACATGTGTGAAGCAAATGTGATCCTCCCCTCAATTTTTTTTTTTTTTTCGTAGCTGCCAATGGAATTTAGTGCTTAAAAAATACCATTGGCATTGTGGTCGAAGCATAAACACCATAACTAAGAGCGCAGTGTGTGAGCATTGTCACCACATGCAAAAATAAAAAAGGGTTTCTTTTTTCCACAAAGTCACTGTGACACCGACAAAGCGCTGCAAAACATCTGCTGCCGGGAGACGTATCATTAACTATTGTGTTGTTAAAAAGTACATTATCTCATCATCAAGTGCTTTGATTTGGGAGGAAGATTTTTCAACAACACGCTGACCGCCGATCTTACATAACGCAGAAAACCTCCGCAACGATCACTTGGATTGGAGAGCGCCAGGACACTTCCGGGTAGAGATAGAAATTTTTATACCAGTGGGCAGTGAACCATTAAGAACGGAGGACAGAGCGGAGCATGTGTTTGTCTCAGGAATAGCCTCGGAAAAAAAAAAACGGCAGAGAGAGGAGAGTTCACTAGTTAAAGGCCTCTCGACCGTCCAGCATCCTTCCTCTGCTTCGCTCTGCTGGAGGGGGAGGATGGAGGATGGATGAACGTGGAGAAGAAGAAGAAGACAAGAAGGGAGGAATTAGAGGAAGATGGAGTGCAAGAGGAGGTATAGGGGGAAAAAGTGTGGATTGATAGACTGACGGAGAAGGAGTTAAAGGGGACGGATTGAAGGATGGATGAGAGGGGGAAAAAAGAAGAAAGATGGCCATTAGCTGTGCAGCTAGGGGGGGAAACGAGAGACATAGAGAGAAAGGTCAGTGAGAAAGCAATCTGTAAAAGGTAGAAGAGAGAAAGAGGTAGGGGAGAGAATAAGATCAGAAATAATAGAGAAACACGAAGAAGTAGTGAAGAGGGGGAAAGGAAATGAGGAGAAAGTTAAAGAAAACGGGCAAAAAGAAGAGAAAAGAAATGGCAAAATGTAAAGAGAAGATGGGGAAGAATGAGAGGAACAAAGAGACGCGAGAGAAAAGGAAAGAAGAAGGATAAACAAAGGTGGTGTTTTAGAGCGAGTGGGAGGCAGGGAAGAAAAAAGGGGGAGGAGAGCGAAGGAGAGAGAGAGAGAGAGACAGTAAAATGAAAGAGAGATGGGAGAGTAGGTGGGAGACAAGGGAAAACCGGAGAGGAGAGGGAGGATGTGAAGATGAAAGGGTGAGGGGAGAGGGAGGAGAGGGTGAAGCTGTCGGGGGGGAGAGAGAGAGTGAGCGAAGTGCCAAACAGATAAATAACCAGCTTACTGGGATTACCAAGTGACTGACACAGAATTTGCCAGAGCAAATATGACGTGGCAGCGATCGCTCTTAACCCATATAAACCTGAACCCGGTCCAAGATGTCCTCCGGTGTTCAGCGCCGTCGCCGGTGCTGCTGCTGCGTGAGTGTGCGACTCGCTTTGTTTATGTGCACAAACAACAAGACGCTGGAAGTAGCTGTTTAATGCTGCTTGGATTCATAAACATTTAAAAACATGACCAGAAGTATGCGGACGGCTAAACATCGAACCCACCAGTTCCAAAAAAAAATCTACTTTCCTGGGAAGCCTTTTGCACCGAGGATTCGCTGGCGTCCGCCCGCCGGAGCAGCCGCTTCACGACTTGAATTTAGCGAGCGTGATTCAGGACCTGCAGATGCTCTCATGCGCGACTCACCAACTTGTAACACTTGGACAAATCAAAGCGCCTCATTCATTACGCTAACGCACGTACACATGCACGCTCTCCTGCACTCACTAGCCCACATTTTACCCTCTAATGAACTTCAACAACAAACCGACAATAGCCAGGGAGAGTTGGGGGGAAAACAGAGATATGAGGAGATAGAGGGGACGGGAGAGGGAGATGATGAGAGAGAGTCAGAGGAGGCGGGCAAACATAAGGAGTGGGTCTATAATTGGAAAGATGTGAAAAATGAAGTGTCGGTTTGGTCAATAGAGGGCAGAGGTCGCAGAAGCAGGAGCCCAAACTCGGCACAGAGCACGCTCATTAGAGCGACCAATCAGATCTTGCCTGGCTGCCCCAGACCATTACTCATCAGAGGTAGAGGAGCGCGCACACACACACACACACACACACACACACACACACTTACACAATATCTCTTTGTCTTCCCTTGTTTCACTGTAATTTCTCTCTTCTTCTATCTTCCTCCTCCTCCTCCTCCTCCTCTTCCACATCATCCGTCCATCTTTTATTTTTATCTCGACTCGGAAAGACAAACGAACGAGCGAGAGGACGTGTGCGAAAGACAGAAAGAGAGACGATGAGACCGAGTGCGAGACGGACAGAGAGACAAAGACGGACAGAGAGCGAGTGTGTGTTGACTATATAAATGGCTGCTCGTTGGAGTGGAAGGCATGGCGGCGCTCTCTGCTCCCACCCAGGCTCTGCCTCCTGGCACTGGCAACCCTGCAAACTGCTCGCCTTGACATCGCCTTCAATAATATATGAAGTTGCTTTTTTGCCTACAGTTTGTTTGCAACACCACCACCACCACCACCACCACCACCACTCCATTCTCCCACTGCTGCCTCTGTCTCTGTGTGTGTGTCTGCCTTTAACGCACACACAGACACACATATTCTTCGAATGCATCGAGCCTCGGCGGAGTTGTGCGTTCAAAGGGGGAGTTTGTGTTGGAAATTTAGCGCTACGTGCAATATCAATAAGTTAAAAAGCCGAATGAATTGTAATAAAATTGCACGTTGATCATTTTTTGCACGTTCAGTTCTTAAGCTTCAGCGCAAAAACTCTCACAGACGCAAGCAGTCGCTAATATCATTAATGTGGAATAAACTCCCCAACCTGCAAAGTTTCTTACAAAAAAAACAGCCATGAATTTTACAATATTTCAACTGTTTTTTTTTTTTGTCTGTGTGCTTGAATTTTTCAGACAGGTGCATGAAACCAGAAGTTGCCAGTGTGGCACCAGGAGGACAGAAAACCCTCTTTTTAGACACTGTGTTTATCCTGCCCATGTGTCCTGGAGCAAAAAAAAAAAAAAAAGAATCCCTACCAGATCCCAGAAGTGCTCCAACACAGCTGACAGTGACCCCGGACCCGGAGCCACCGAGAGCTGCTGCAAAAACTAAAATCCCGAACAGGCCTGTCACGTCTCATCCTAACACACAATAAAACTTTCTGTCACGTACTTGATGTGCGTGATCTGATCTGGCCGATAATGGACTCTTCTCATAAAGAAATCTGCGTCCTCTTCCGCTGGGATCTCTTACCCTGCTCGCTGCTGTTGTCGCCGCTGTGTGATGTGTGTCCGCCGCTGGACGGTCCCGGTGTTCCTCCGGAGCGCGTGGACGCCGTGTCGTCGTGATCTCTGTTCCAGGACGTCTGTCGAACAAAGAGACGAGGTCAGTCGGTTCATCGAAAAAAAAATCTCGTGCTTGCTTTTCATCAGCACTGATTTTGTTTGTAATTTTTTTTTTACAGTATTTTCTTCCCCTTTTGAAAACTTCGGCGTACGCACACTGTGTATAATGTGGAAGGAAGCCCGCACACTGAAAATAAATTCATCACTGCGAACCCTCAGCCCAGTCACGCAGCGTGTGTGAGGCCCTGCAACGCTCTCTTTACGGAATGAGGATTATTGGGGCTTGATGAAGAGAAAAGGCCCAGACGAATAGCGAGCGAACATGTTGTATTAGTTCCCAGCTTTCTGAGGCATGCAATCCACGGCTGCCTCCATTTGGCTCAAACCACTAGCAGATGAAAATACAAAACAGCTACAAGTTAAGATAGGCTGCAGCCAGCGCCAGGGAGTGATGTCATCCAGAGCCGAGCGGGAGGGAGAGCGAGGTAAATAACTCACAGTATTGCTACAGACGTATAAATCCTGTGTTCTGTCCAAAAAAATGAAACACACACAAAAAAAAGAAAAGAAATGGATGACCAGTCCCACTAATGTAGAATTAGATTTTATTTTGAGCAGCGGAGCCAAAGCAGAGACATAATCAAATAAGCTAAAGTTTTCCCACAGACTTTTCTCAAACAAAAAAATGAAACGGAATATTGCATGACCAACCGAACTGACGCTGACTCAAAACAAATGAGTGTTGCCACAGAATGGAAGTTCATTCCTTTCTCTAAAAAAAAAAACAACCTGAAGTGAGACGAGTCGCACGCTCCGAGTTTGTGTCATCAAACACAAGCAGCTGACTAGACAAGAGAGACTCCGGAGACCTGGGTTTATATATAGAAAGCTGTGTGTGTGTGTCTTGGGCCATATGAGTGTCAGCTGCATACTGAGAGAGCAAATGGTCCAGACAGGAGTAAAAACACACAACATACAGTGTCCACAGGAACAACAAATGCGCAGAAACATCCAAAAGTTTCCCAACACGTTACAAATGTGGATGCTTGCACACGTCGGCGCTGTGCAGACAACACACACACAAAGCCGCCTCGTAGCATAGAAGCTAAACCAGATGTTGCATCTTATCTCTCGGTGCCTCTGAAAAGCAGCTTCACCGCCGAGGACAGGAGAGAAAAGAGACTTCAGAATACAGGGAAGTGGAATGTAATGTGTGATCACACGCGGCTCGCTATCCCAAACAAACAAAACACACAAACACTTCTCGAGCCTCCTCCTCCTCCGCCGCCGCCCGCCTCAACCCATCTCTGCTCCATGAAATCAAATGGAGCAGATATCAAGGGCCAATGTGGTGTCGCGCTTTTTTTGGGGTTTGAAAACGAGTGATAGAAAAGAAAGCGGCACAGAGGAGGAAGAGAGGAGGGAGAGCAGAGGAGCACGCACTGGAGAACAACTGGTTTCAATTGGGACACTACAACTGGCACCGGCGCTGTGAGAAGAGTTTGGAGTTGAGCATTATAAAAAAAAAAAAAAGTAGACATTAATTCATGACACTGGGTTTGTTTTAAACAAAAATCTAGAAGGAGTAGAATAACAGAAAAGAAAATACAAGTCAGCAAATTCAACACATTTGGGGTCTATTAGAGCTCGTTTGATGTTCCTGGGCTATGAAATTATAATCCAGTGCTTACATGGACGATATAATCGTTGTTTTCCAAATTAGGCTTTGAGGCTTTGCAATAAAGAGGAAAGTCACTGCACAAAGGCATGACTGGGATGGTGATTGGGCAGATAAACGTTGATGTTAACGGGGATAAAATACCGAGAGGATCTTTTTTTTTTTTTTCCGCCTCTTTACAAATTCTTTTTTGCTGACCGTAGAACGCTGAAAAATGAAACACCCGTGCATGACCGAGGAACTCCAGAGAACATCAGAAGTGAGGTAATCCAGACCACATGCTCGGCACGCAAACAGTTAACGCGGGCTTTTGCCAATTCCTCCAAAAGTGCAGCTTTTAAAAAATGAGCAAGAACTTGTTTATTCAGAGCTCTGCGAAAAAAGAATAGCGCAGTACCCGAGGGATGTGGAACGGCAAGTATTACAAAAAACCCAAGAGCCTCGGCTCGCAAAAGGGATACGGCTTTTTTTTCATGTTCTTTTTTGTTTTAATTCTATAACAAATTCCATTTGAAAATATAATTAGAAAGTGGAGGGGGAAACGGCAAACTACTGCATTAGCTGTAATTGAACAAAAGAGCGCTTTGCCTGCTGGGAGGTGGCCACTGAGGCCCCATGGGAAACGGGGCGGGGCTGAGACAGGGCCTGGTGGCATCTCCGCGGGGACGGGGAGTTTATTTATAATCACAGGCCGCCCTTGGATGGAACAGGCCCGGCACTGATCTAACACGCAATTAATACACACACGGCTGAGATCACACAACCCCTACACACACACACACACACATACCAGTGCACACAGGTCAGGCTGCATGTGTGTGTGTGCGTACACTCATGCACAAACACACTTTTTCGGCCACTTTGCTTGCACACACACACACAATACTTTTCATCTACCTTGTGCAAACACATGGCAGATCTGGCACAACCTCTATTTAACAACAGCACACACACACACACACCTTAACCCCAAGACAGGCTGCAACAACAAAAACACACACCCTGTGCCAACAAGGCGGCAGCAAACAATGCGGAGGTCCACCTTCAAAATATGTAAATGCACGAGATGAATAGATGCATAAACAGAAAGCTTGAGGAAACGGAGAGCATGAGAGTGGTTCCTGTGCTGCACACTTGATTTATTCTGTCCCTTTAATGAGCCACCGTGCTCCCTCTCTGCCTCTCTGTCGCTCTCTCTTTAACTCTTTCTCTCTCCTGCGCAGGATGTCGCTGAATTCAATGCTTAATTGTTTAGTAAATTCAATTTTCCACATTCTATTCTGCCTAGCTTTAGCTAAACTTCTTAAATCTGCCGCGCCAAGCCGAGGGAACCCTGTTTTTGAGCCGTGCATACCTTTTTTTTTTTCTTCTTCTTTTTTTCATTACCATTTTTCTTCCCTACACCACCCTAATTCGCCATGAAAAGATTTTCCTTGCTGGAAATTCTGATTCCGCTATGATCGGTGAGGCATTCCAATCCAATGCATTCTCATTGTGCCGCGTCTAAGATGCAAGAGGGGCTTCCCTCCTCTCGCTGTGCCAGGCCCCATATCATACAAGCGCTCATGCAAGAAATGTTGCCTTGCCAATTCATTTGCAATAATAAAGAAAACGGTTAAGGTTGTTGTGCTTTGCCCCCTCCTCCCCACCTTTCCCGTCTTTCTTCACTCTGAAATATCTTTTGTGATGATATGGATATTTACTTTCCACTCCGTGCCAGTGAGCGTGCGGAAATAATCATATGTGCATACTTAACGGCGCAGACATAAATATCCAAATAACCCCCCCACACACATACACTCCTCAGCGGTGGTACATCTGAATCAAAGATGACAGTCGGGCTACTCCATCCCCCAGAATTCTTTGGTGCATCTGTTCTTTGTGGTTGTTTTCTTTAACACCGTTTTTGACCTTTTGCAACAGCGCTGCTTCCTTGGAGTTGAAATCTGCGAGAATGCCATGTGTTGCAGCAGCAGCAGCAAGATGGTCCTGCAATAACCACAGACACATTCTCCCACTCGGCTGAGCGCTGGTGGGAAAGCTGTAAGTGAAAGGGGCTGAAAGGCCAGCTATTGTAAACTCTTGTTTACTTTGCTTTCCACTGTGACTAGATAAAGCAGGATCTGCCTCTCTGATAACCGGCCAGGCAAGTGCTTGCCCGACTACCTCTGCTCTCTCCACCCCGCTCCTCCCCTCGCTGCAATATTAGTGCTTCCAAAATGAAAAGAAGGGGCTGATAATGGTATGCGTGGTGAAAAAAAAAAAAAAAAAAGGTGGGGGGGAGAGAGAAAGAGAGGGAGAGCAAAAGACCCCCTCACTCCCTCCCATTCTGCTCTGCACTCCCCCCTTCCTCCCTAACTCCTCACAATAGACAAAGAAAGAAGAAATAACCTTATAATTGCTGAAGGGGGTGAGGGAGAAAACTGGATTTGGTCTCTTGAGTGAGTAAAGTATGCTACACTGAATCGCCGTCAGGTACTCTTCAATCGGCTTTTTAAAACTGGTGGGTTAAGCTCATAGAGACAAGCAAAGATAATTACATGTTTGAGATAATTACCAGAGCTTTCAAAGTCCATTTAGATGACACTCGCGGAAACTGACAAACTGATTTTCTTTCTCTGTGGCCTCTCCTCCACTCCGGCTATACCCTCCTTGTTTACCCTCTGTGAGCTGAAATCCAAACAACAACATGAAGTGGAGGGCTCTCCCCTCCACGCTATCTAACCCCAAACAAAGCACATTTCTTCTTCTTCTTTTTTTTTTTCTCAGCCGTGAATGAAAAGGCAGCCGTAATTTCTTAATGACATGTTTTGCTGCGGTTTCTTCGTTAGCCTAGCCTAGCTTCCACTCGGATGTTCTCGGCGGATTCCTTGGAGACGGGGCCTGTTTGTGACGGTGGCCATTGTCGGAGGCTTGCAGGGGGTTAAGGGGGGAGAGGAACTTTCCATTAGCTAAGTACACATGTGTTAAGCCAGGTTATTGTTTACTTAGCCAAAGAAACCACGGCAGGCCTCGGGGACAGACATGGCCGCCCATCATAAGTAACAGGAGACACAAGCCAAGAACTTTATTTGCAATCGGGATCTTGTGGCGATCACAACAGAGTATCTGTGACACAGCGAGCGACGCTTTCCAGCAACACTCGCAGGATTTAAAAAAACAACTAATAAATCAACTGAAAGAAAAAAAAAATCATCTCGCGGCGTTTAAGGCGCTCCTGACATTCGTATTCTTTGAAGTTCTCCTAATCATAATCACCCCTACTTGCTATTCCGCCACAATAATGAAGAGGCTAAGAAACACACGAGTCACGTGGTCACCTCTTTGTATCACTTGTTGAATCCTCAACAGCCGCCCGAATGGAAAAAAAAAAAAGAAAAAGAAAAAGAAAAAAGGGGGAGTCCAGGGGAGGAGGGGGAGCGAAGGAGGGAGAGGGAGGCCGAGTGGGGGTCAAACCTCTCCTCTATTCAACTACAAAAGCCGCTATTACCAACAATCACTACAATGATTCAAAAGTTTGTATTAAGAGCAGCGGCGTGCCACTGTAGGAGCGAGGGGGGAAGAAGAAAACACAGCAGAGCGAGTGTGTGCGCCTGTTAAGTCGGGTGAAACTCGATCCATACTTCAACGAGAAGCGGATAGATTAGCGATAGCGGTGTACTGATTAGGAAAATAGTGGCTGACCCCAGCAGTCATGGTTTCCATTGAGTTAGGAGTGAGCGGGGAGGGGGGGCCAGGGGTCACTCTTTGACCGCCAGAGTTACCTAAACCAACACTGCTGGGTCTCACTGACCTGGAAACCCGCACTTGTATGGCATAACAGTGCCAATTGTTGGGAAAAAGATACCGCGATAGCGCTATCGAGAGCAAATTCTTACACAGTGACCACAACACTGAGCTCAAACAAGCTGGGTTTGTTTATGAAAGATTGTCCAGGATGTAAGAAAAACAGCCACGGATCCCAAATGTATAGATGTTATTTCAGATTGCAGGCCCCCTTTCACATTCTTTGCACATGATTTCCACTGCAGACATCACTCAGCGAATGCCACAAAGCCTCCCTAATATAAAAATACCTCTCCACTAAATTAACTCAACAGATCAAGTGCCGAGCATTCATAATCATTTAAGACTCTTACATCCACAAAAAGTCAGCCGGTGAATATTTTTTGAGGGAAATTTCAATTATTTCCAGCCCCACTTCAGCCTGCATGGCTCAATCAAGTAGAGGAGCTCTTGAGACTTGGAGTGAGTCCTCAGCACTATTAGTGGTGTTCTGCTCTACAGCGGAGAGCCTGGGCCCTCAGAGTTCATTAGCAAATTACTGCGCCCCTCCCCGCGCTCTCGCTGCAATTAAAGGCAACTGTGCAAATGACGTACGGCGGCGTGGAAATACCTCCCCGCTTCTTGAGACCGAGGTGAACATGTGTGCCAGGCAAATAGGGATGCAATCAGCAGAGCAGCCATATTTCCACAACAACAAGGAGCCTGAGACAGACGCAGCCGTGGACTCGAGCCCCGCCACATTAAAAGGCCTCCGCCAAACTCACTCAGAGTAGCACAGTTTTATTTTGGCTTTTATGTTTGTGCACAGATGAGCTCAAAGCAGATCCGACAGGGCGACTAGAAAAACGCAGCAGCTCAAGTGGAGAAAACAAAACGCAGCGAGAAGCTCTCCGGAGACCGGCAGGGAAAGAGTTAAGAAAGTCCAACTGGTGCTAACCAGTCACTCCACTCACATAGCACCTGAGGGGGGTGCTGCATTTATCAGGCCAGTCTGAACACACACATGCACACACACACACACACAAACACACACATGTATGCATACACTTGCAGACAGATGCATGCACACAGCCTGTGCACACACACACACACACACACACACACCAACACAGAGAGACACACACAAACACAGGAGGGTAAGCCCAAACTGGCTGGGCTGCATTCACAAGCCAGCGCAGAGCCTCTTTGACTTTTTCACCTCTCAGCTATGCTCTGCTTTCTTTTGAAAGGGGCGCTCAGTGTCCCTTCAAACCCGCCTGCACAGGCAGGCTAAGGAGGGAAAAAAAAACAATGTAAAGACATGTAAAGAATATTCAGAAAATTACTGTTATGACGCAAGAGTGCATAATGCAGCAAGAAAGTCAGCGTTGTTGGATTGTTGAGTTTAATAAATTCAAAGTATTTTTTTTCCTCTGACATTTTTTTCCCTCTGCTACAGTCGCCTCACTGGAATAAATTGGTTTATGAATAAATGAGCCTGCTTTCTCCATCTTGTTAACATTGTTCTTTTGTGCAAATTCTCAGCATTTTTTTTCCAGTCCACTTCAACTTTATGCCCGAGGGCATATATTAAAAATACATATGGAAAGAGATAATGCACACACAATGCAAATTCGTTAAGGATGTCACTGCCTAACAACTGCAGATAAGATGTCACACAAAAATAGCCCACGAAATTTTAAAAAATATATATTCTGCCGCAAGTAAGTCATGAAGTGCAGTGCCATTAGATTGACAATATAAGTATTCAGCAGTGAGAGGCTGCACCCTCTGCCTGTTTGGATATGCCCATTTACACACAGCCTGCTGCTGTGGACCACGCTATCCTACTAGAACATCCCACAATATCACACATCTGTCAAAAAGTTTCCCTGCATTTTGCTTAAAAAAAAAAAAGACTCTGCCTGTAGGTCATTTATATTATTCTGTCAGCATAAACATATTGCTCTTAATTGGCTATATGTAGAGACCATCATTATATTAAAATAGGCCATGTCTTCATCTTACAGTCAATTAAAGATCTGCATCAGTGCCCCAAGCACAACATAATTTTCTTCATATACCTAGAAACCCTTGGGTTTTAACACACTCTATTTCCATATCTATACACTATAAGGCTTCAGTCAATGCTTTGACCTATCTATAAAAAAGAAAAAAAACTTTCTGACAACTGGATCCCGGGAGAATACAACAGGCTGCTCACAGAGACACTTAAATGCACAAGTGGCGTCTGTGTTATTTAATTCTGTTGCTGGATTAAATGAAGTATTATCTTCCGGGTGATCTTTTCTCATTTCCATAATCAGACATAAGGGCCGGGGATGGAGGAGTGCATGCGCGGCGGGGTGGGGGTCCTCCCAGCCGGGGCCCAGTCCGCTCCCAGTCCTGCCATTCAGCCCAGGACATAAAAGCCGGTGGCTGCCTCTCTCTCCACTCAGACCAGCCACTCAGCCATATGGAAGTCCGCTGATTTAAATTATTTAGCCTAATCGCTTCATTACTTTTTATGTCGGACTATCCGACTAATCCCTTTAATTTGGATACTTGATTTTCCTTCCCTCCTCCTCCTCGTCCTCCTCCTCTCCTCTCCTCGCCATCCATAGGTTATAGCCGCTGCACTCCAAAGCCATTTCTTAAAACTCTCGGATAGTTTAACTTATTGAAATGTGGTCTCATAGCCTGCAACCCTGCTTCCTGCGCAAATGACTCGATCTATTAATGGCCGAAAAATCCAGATTTGCATAATTCTAATCATCGGTTGCTGTTATCATTATTTAACGGCAGTGTATGGACCATTAGGGTCATGCCTGTGCGCACACTACAATGTCCCCGGAGTGCCAACAGCCAGTGGAGCACATAATGAAGGCTGTGGTTATCTCTGATATCTGCACAAAAGGAAACACTCCCTAATCTACCTTTAATACCCGCTGCTTCTGTAGCTTTCGAAAATAAACCTTCTTATTGGGGGCTGAATCTGTGCGCTCTGAGCGAAATAAAGGAGGAAGAGAGGAGGGGTCTCGATAAGCAATGTGCACTCATGTCTAAGGAAAAATACTGACAAGACGCGTAATGAACCGTGAACTCTACAGTGGAGAAACCAAGGCATCTAAACCACAGTCTGCAGCCCATGCTCTGCTCTCTCCAGGGCGACACAACACAGAGGAGCTGATAACGTTTCTCTTAGGATCAAAAAAAAAAAGAAGAAGAAGAAAAAGAGACGAGAGAAAATGGAGAGAGGCACTAAATTAAAATCGACATGAAACAGGTCAAGTTTATGGCGATGCTTTTTCGAGCTAATCTTCCCAGGTCGGTTCCGGGTTCAAGTCTTAATGGGCCAATAATAGCAACATTATTCTGAATTTTTTTTCATTCCGATGGATGGAATGTAAAACGGCCTTAATCATATGCAAATAACAGCGCAGCGGTGTAGTGACCCAGAATAGCTGAATAGCCAACAGGGAGAACACACACACACACACACACACACACACACACACACCAAGGCGGAGAGATGTACCTGATCTAGGGCCACCGATCTTGTGATTTCCTCGCTGTCTGATTTGGACCCGCCCTCTCTGTCGTCTATGACCAAGTCGATAGGCATCTTGCCTTTCAAGCAGCTGATGTACCGGTGACAGAAATTATCACACAGCTCGTGTACCTGCAGAGAAAGGAAGAAGGAAGACAGAGGCGTCACACACTTACAGAAAAATGCCCATAAACACACACAACATTATGTCGCTTTGACGCGTAAAAAGCGCAACGGAGAGCTTTTACGCAATTTGGCAAAAAAAAAAACGCACATCACAGAAGCGCATCTAAAATATTTAAATCTTTTAACAGAGTTAACATGAACTGATCGCTGACAACATATTGCATTAAGATAAATCATCAAACACTGTCAAACGTATTTATTTTTGCTTCCAAAAAGTTTCATATTTGCTCCGGAATTCTAACATTCAGCCTAAGGTGTGTCCGGTCCGTGCGCCTTGGCACGCCGTGGTGGTGACGGGGCGCTCTGTCCAGCCAGCGATAGCAACTTTATTTTTCCCTCCTCTCAAAATAGAGATATCGCTGAAAATTGACAGTGACAAGAGGGCTCAGAGGCTACAACGCACTCAACACCCGTGTTAAATTCATCATCGGTGCCCCGGGTAGTGGCCATTAGAGGAGGGTGACCCGCTTGACTGACATTTAAGGTAAACTGTTTAATTTGGTCAACTTATTACATTATCGCTGCCAATGTGGCGCATCCTGCAGCACGAGACACAAACAACAAAAAAACTTTAATTTACTGAGCTTCCTTTATAGCTGCAGACTATACCATCTGCAGCCTGAGATCTGTGGATTTAAAAAAAAAAAACGCAAAGCATGCAGAGAAAGAAAACTTTAAAAACTTTTAACAGCTTTGATGGTGTTTGAGAACGTTAAAGTTTGGGTTAAAGTTGACAGTCCGGGCTACTTGCACTCCATCTGATACGGAGACAAATCAAGAGCCTTACACCCACTACTCCCTCTATCCACAGATGGCTGCCTGGGGCCTTTTGCCCTCCACAAAGAATCATTTCTAAAAAACCCGCAAAGTTCGCCTATATGTTTCACCTTGCATGCAATTTCTGCCAGCATTAAACTTCATTAAAACATGGGGGAGATTTGGGCACAGAGATATCCGTTCCAGTTGTAACAGCTTGCGTCGTGATTAAACGCGGAAGAGAAATGGCCCCATGATTGATTTTGACGCTAATTATAACCGACTAGCAAAAATACATTTATGCAAATACAGCCCATAGGTCTGAAGTGGCACGCTGGACAGAAATGGCGAGAGAATATTACCTTCTCCAGCTCCAGAAGATGAAATCGTAAAACTTGAATGGCTTGAATCATCTGAAAAATTAAAATAACAATAAAAAATGAGCTGCTCACATGTCTTGATATTAAACAGGCGCGTTTTTCTCAATGCAAGTAACTGCAGATGAAGAAAATATTCATATGAATGGATTTTATGTGGAACTGATATTAAACTTGGACGTTATTGCAATATGGAGAGCAGGCGTTCAGCGCAGGCTGCAGCTGCAATAAGCCTCAGAGTCAGAGATCTATTAGCCACCAACTAGTCGTGAGGAAAACATTACTCTGACATTACACTTAGAGAATCAAACTGTACAAAGTGAAGAGATTGACTAGAATAAGTTTCCAGGCTGAGTTCAAAGGTGTGTGACAGCTGTCTGAGAGCGGCCCTTCATCTGCAGATACAACCGGGGGCCATCATGATATCAAACAGCCCAAAAAGAGGAACATCATGTGCAATCCTGCTTTAACTTTTCCGAACCACGTGGCTCTCTGACACAGATGAACGTCCCGCCAATGAACATGCACACAGCAGCTGGTGTGAAAATACGCAGAATCACATTTGTAAAAAAATATATATATAAATTCAAAAGAGCAGATTAAAAGTGTCTTACCAGGTTATCCAATTCTGGATTCGATGAAAATAAAGGTTTTTCTGCCCGAATCTAAAAGCCAAAACATAACCAGGAAATATAGGATTAAAAACTACATTATAAAGTTATAAATAGCACGTGATGCATGATTGTATTTATATGCAATAACGTCATCATTTATCTCACTATATGATATGAACACACTTTGAAAATAACATTTATTAATAGGTGCATTATTGTGCGTAAAAGTCCACACTTGTATTTCTTTTTTCTGTTTTGTTGGACGTGCAGGTTAAGAGCTGAACCAGCCCGAGCATGCAGATTACAAAAGTCAAACTTTCCTGACCTGTTTTGCAAACACTGCTATGTCTTCATTGAAAGATTCCGATGAACAGACGTCTCCTCCCGCCACCCCGGGCTCTCTGGGGGTGCAAGTCGCTAATTCACATTTCTCAAAAATCAGTGCAAGCAAAGGGAACAGGGGGTGCCTGGGAACACACACAATAGCAAATGTCACCAGAGAGAACAAGCGCCGGGGTCAAGACTACTCCAGGCTAGATTTAGCCAGCCATGCTACTCCTCAACAACTCGCCCATGGGGACTGCTGCTGCAGCCCGAGCTATTATATTATATTATGCAGAGGCTCGGAGAAAGGCTGCAAACAGCGGGCAGACTTCTGTGATTAAATCTAGGCGCGCCTAATAGCATAAAAGCTTTAGAGTCTGTCAAACAATTTCGAGCTCAGGTCTTCGTTTGGACACACAGGCGTGTGTGTGTTTGGCACAAAAAAATAAAAAATACATTTAAAGAAAATAAATCTGTGGAGATGTTGGCGTTTAAATTTGCGCTCATTTGTTTGTTATTTATTCTTTAGGTCCTCGGATTAAATCTGCGTAAAAGTCAAGACGCCTCCTGAAGTTGAGCCCGTTCAGTTAGTGGCTCTGAAAACCTCATTCTGGGAATTTTTAATTAACTCCTGCAAATTAATAAATGATGTGTATTTGTGGGATCTTCTTTACATATTATAGTTTTTTTTCTGAAGCGTGGCAAATTAGCGCAATTAATTAAAATGCTTCAAAATGGGAAGGTAATTATTTTGCTCAGGATAAACCGTGAAACTTTAGGAATAAAATAAAGGAAGTGGGTCTGCTTCAAACCTCTCATTATTATTCCTAAAAGCCAAAATACAATTTTCTAAGGACATCCGTGAGATAAACTCCTCAAGTTTTCCAATAAAACTCCACATTTCTCTTTAATTCTGCAGCATTTCTTAAATTGTTTATTGAGGGGAAACAAGATGGGAAACACGAGTGACTTCAGGAGCGTAAAATTCAAAATTGCGCAAATTTAAAAGCACAACAGAAGCCCGTGCAGCTCCTTTCTCCTCCCCTGCGCCTCTGCAGCACTTTGGGCTCCACTTCACCGGGACACAGCTCCGTCCCGAGCCGGTGTTTTCCCCGGACTGTGCACCCACTAACCCACCCTCGGCTGCCCACTCCCACGCACTGGATACTGGCCGCCAGAGAGCGAGTTCGTCCCCCCCACACCCTCCTCCCTCCTCCTCCTCCTCCTGCACGGATCCGAGGCTTGCACTTACCCGTATATAGCGTCTTTATCTCTCTTGAGAGCGTCGTTAACGGAGGAGCCCATACTGGGAGGCATGGTGTTGGTGTGGGCGGTGTGCGGGTACTGGTGCGAGTGCAGCTGGGGACCGTGGTTGAGGTGCACCGCCTGCATGGACCGGGCTCCGTGCGGGTCTCCGTACATGGTGGTCGGGATGCCCACACCGTCCATCCCGTAGTGGGGCAAGTCTTCGTACTGCACAACAACAAAACACGAGGGGGTCCACAAGTGAACACAGAATATCTCTGACTCTGTTCAAACTTTGCAATAAAACCGCAAGTCAGGAAAATACTAGAAGAAAAAGTCCACTTTTGTTTTTCTTTCTCCCCAAAAAATAAAAAATAAAAAAAGAGTAAAATTCCGAAATAGTTTTATTAATTTCGAATTTCTTTCTCCCCAAAAAATAAAAAATAAAAAAAGAGTAAAATTCCGAAATAGTTTTATTAATTTCGAACATTTTGCCTTCATTAAAAGAGATTTCCAGAAAAGCTCTTGCGTTGAAAATCCTGAGTCTTTTTAAGGCGAGAAAAACAAAAGAAATAAATTCAGCTCAGTGGTTTCATTTGTGCTGCTCGAGGAAAGTTTGGAACACACGAGCCTGGAAGTGACTTGTTCAGCTTGTTTACAATCTGAAAATGATTATTCTGACGTGAAAAGTAGTTTTGTTCTCAACTTATTCACAGTGACCCTTGTAGCCCAGAGGAGAAAAAAATACGTATGAATTATTCAAGATGTGCTAAATTACTGGGAGGACAAAAAAGAAAAAGTCAAACTACAGGAACTGGACTCGGATGTATTATTATTATTATTGTTGTTGTTATTTTTAATATTATTGTGAACCAGGCGGTTTGGGTTTAACTACATATTCCTGGTGAGCTGTGTTTTCACTGTTTACAACAACAAACGTCTTAAACCTGTTAATTGCAGTGTTTTCTAATTTTAAAGGCTCATAATTGTGCAGCATGTTATTACCCATCAGGCACACTGTGATTAGCGCCAGCACCCAAACGCGTCTCGTGTGTGTTAAACCCGAGCTGAATATTCAAACTTTTTTTTTTTTTTCCCACTTTTTGAGTTGCATTGTGCAGTTTGGTGTTCACGCCGTTGTTTAGTGGCCGTTAAACACCACGACGCTTTGTTAAAACGCAGAAATGTCGGTTTTCGTGGCTGCAGACGCGCAAATAAAAGCTCGATTTGAGGTTTTGCTTCTTTAATAGGTAGAAAATACGGGCTTGAATTATTGATAGTGCTCACTGGACGTGACAAACAAGTGCCGGGGAAAGAGTAAAAATGCATTATCACTTAAAGCTGAGCGTTTCGACCCTAAAGGCAAAGAGGTGCAAACCCCAGCGTGGTGCAGCTCCGGTGCCAAAGCGAGCAGCTAAATGTGTCCAGTGTCCCTGGAACATCTCTGCTTTTTACACTGTTTGCTGTCCGCGTGAGGATCCAGCACCGCGGTTCCGAAGCAGAAGAATCAAAGCGTTTGTCATCACTTCATTGCAACAAACGCCCCCAAAAAAGTGCCTCGATGCCATTATGCTAATTTTGCATGTTTTCGCGCAATTTACGCAAAGCACAACTTGACGGTGAAATTTGGATTTCGCTCGTAAAAAAAAGAAAAGAAAAAAAAACTCGAAGTGGAATCTTGACGGAACAGTCAACAGAGAAATGTGCAGATTTGTTTTGCCTCTATGCCCTCCCCCCCATTTCGCTTCCAGTAACTGGCCTGTCATAACTAATCTAAAAAACATAGCCGATGTGAGATATGATCACGCTCCCAATGTCCCTCGGAGGGCCGGTTTGTGGAGCAAACGAGTGCGGCCGTGCGTAATGCCGTGCCAAAAGACGCCAAACACGAAAATTGTTGTCTCCATGTGTCTGGACGGCGACAGAAACTTTCGCCGCGAGTGTGTGTCCGAGTGTGTGTCATTAAGCCACGTTACAGCGCAGCATTGCATTCAAGCGCAGCGGACTTAGAGAAACTTTTTTAGGGGGGGAATCGTCCTACGTACCCGTTGCGCCATAACCCTCCTCACTCCCTGGTCGTCCTTTCAGTTTAGGTAAATCCCCTCTGAGGCCAGGGTGGAGACGAAATAAAGAAAGAAAATCCAAATAAATGGGAAGATGTTTCAGCCAAAATCCCGTATGCCTTTTTTTCTCTCTCTCCCCACACGGAACGGTGAAGCCAGCTCCCGCTTTCTGTGCAAGTTTTAGCCCAGGCGCGGCGAATAGGTCCTCGGCTGTCCTCGGGGCAGCGGCACCGGGCTCCCTTTTCCAAAACCAGGATGGAAATAAAATAGCCCCTCAAACAAAACTGGCGACTCTCATGGCTTTTTGCCACTCCGCCTGTCAGTCAAAACGCGAGGGCTTGTCAAAAGTACCGGATGAATGATGGTCCGACGCGCGTCTCCACGGGATCGGCACCACCTAAATGTTAATGGTCACAATCACAGTTAAAAAATGAAGCAGCGCTCCTCTCGTTTTCTTTGATCACTCTCGGCTCCCGGCTTGATTTTCTTATGCAAAAGCGTCTAGAGGAGATCAAGAGGAGGTGGGGTGATAATTCTGGCTTAGGCTTTCTTAAAGGAGCCACGATCGATGCTGCGCTGTGTGTGTGTGTGCATCTGCGTCTGCATGTGTGTGAGTGCGTGTGTATGCGTGAGCCGCCTGCCTGCCTGCCTGCCCGTTTGTGTACAATGGATGTGTGTGTTGAGCTGAGGAGGAGCGGAGGATCTGGACCAGACTGCTGAAACCCGGAAGTAGTGGTGGCCATAACAGGTCGCGTCTTACACAACGCACCGGGCTGCAGCAAGTCGTGCGGAGAGGAGGGGGGGTGGGAGGACCCTGCGAGCCCTCAGCCAGCCGCACCGCGAGCTGGAACAACACGGGCACAAACACAGAATACCACCTCTGACTCCGGCTCCGCGGCTCATCCTCACAAACTGACTTTATTCTGCAGTCTGGAGCCGCTCTGTAAACACCGAAACGTGAATTTCGGGATTTACGCACCAGGCACCATGTAGATAGTTTAGAAGCTTCCAACTGTGATGTGAGCTATTGTCAGGTATGTAATTAGGAGGCTGTGTGGGCATTTTAATCCTTTAGTCATTTATGTCATTGCTGTTATCAAAAATAAGTGGAACACTGGTTCATTAGAGGACTTGTGTGGTCAAGTTCCGCCTCTGGTCGGCTGCCAGCAGCATGTGTAGCCTGTAGCCAGACACACAGTTTGCAGGTTTGGGGCCTGTTTTAGCTCCTATTTAACTTCTACACACTTTGTTTGCTCCCTGTGTTTGCATGAATCCATATAAGACTCAGGAATGGAAATGCACAGCTTATTAAACGTCTGCAGCTCCACATAAACAGGAACAAAAACATCCTGCAACTTTCTCCAAGTTATTTAGAAGCAACGTTTAATAATCAGAATTCATTGTTTTCTTCTAAAAGCAGAACTATTAGTCCACATCTTCACATTTGGGTTTTAATCTGAATTCTAAAATAAGCTCTTTAAATTTTACAGCAGCTTCTAAAAGCACCTTTTATTTCTCATGTCTGAGTAACAGTGAACGCTGTCCGTCCCTTCTCCCCCACAGCAGCGCTGAATGGGTCGCTCCAGTCTGCCCGGGCTGTCCAATGGCAGGGAGGCACAGGGATGGGAGCCCCCTATTGGCTCCCGACGTGATCGATCCGGGGGCTGATTGATCGGTTTTAGGCCACATTGGCGAGTAGGCGCAAAACAAAACATCATCCGCGAGTAGAAAACACACACTTAGCTCCTCTGCCGGCCTCTCCTGTGCGTCATTTCACCAAAACAGCGAACATTTGACTGAGACGTCTCCTTCTCTGGCTGTTACGCGCCCACATGTGCACTCATTCTCACTCCTCTGACTTAATTAAATCCTTCTAACTGCACTCAAACTTTCACGAAACCTCTCACAACCAAACAGAGCTGCACTTAAACCCGCTTACGGTCAACTTTCTGCTCTCAGACTCGTCACTAATTCATCTTTTCTCTCTTTATAATGAACCGTTCACTTGAGTTTTAACGCCTTTGCCGTAGAGAGATTGTAAAAGTTTGGTCAAATATTGATGGGCTTTAATATATGGAGGGAATCTTTGCGGAATTTCTGGAGGAATTTCAAGGAAAGTGATGATCTGACTGAATAATGTGTGGTTATAAATTAACCAAATAGTTTTAATTTCCTACTACGTTATCTCGTTATGTTTGATTGCTCGCCGGATATAAAGGGGTACAAATCTTATTTCATTTAGCTGATCTTTTTTTTTTAATTAAGAAAGAAGTTTAACTACCTCCAGATCTGGGTAAAATATTAATGAGATATTTCATGGCATACGAAGGAATATATATAAAAAAAGGAATAACATGAGCAGGGTTAGTTTAAGGGATGAGAACACATTAAAGATTTACAGACAGTTTAATAGAATATTTGATTTTTGTTGTTGTTGTTGGGTTTTACGCACTGGAGCTAACTTTTTATTTATTTCTCAGCCCATCACACACATGAACGGAGGCTGTGTGAAGGACTCATATTATCTCCTGATTATGCTCGTAAGGTGTTGTTGGTCTGTGACAGCCTGTTTGAAGTTTTTTTTTTTTCTTTCCTCCTCTCTCTTCCCCTCTTGTGCAGCGCGTCCAGCCATCGATCATCTGCCCCCGGTGCCAGAAACGGTGTCATAACATGATAATGCGGCTTCACACATTCGGCGGTGATTCCTGCGGTAAAAAAGCCGAGCGCTGGGATCCGATGGGACGATTTTACAAGCATGAAATGACGATCAAAGCCTCCCCGCAGTCCGAGAGCTCCGGGGCTGCGGGCAGCAGAGGAGCCACGAGGCGCGGACTTTTACGCACAGAGGCTCCGGATCAAATAATAAACCCAAGTGACTCGTGCGCGTCAACTTTGCCAATTCTGTTATTTACTGGTGAGTAGAAGCTCTCGTTTTCTGATTGATATTTTTTTTTATTTTTACGGCATTGTAAATAATTAAAAAGCGCATTAATGCCACATAAACGTTTTCTTGAAGTGAGGTTATTTCTAATTAAAGGGAGGAAGCTGCAGCTTAAAACGCACTTTCAGCTGAATTTGTGGGTTTTAGTGAGACACAAGCAGGATAACACAGCTCACTACACCACTACAAGGTACACCAACGTTTTAAGGGAGGACTAAATTAACATGAAAGGGGCTCAAATCAGCGCCTGCTCACTGTAAAATAACCACCATGGCGTTATAAAGCAATTAAGCTCCTTCAATTAGCACCCATAAAATATAAAATAAAAAAAAAAGCTCCACTTTCTCTTCTTGGAGTTGCTCTTTCGTGAGGGTCAGCGCGTTTTGGTATCCTGAAAGAGAGCAGGGGGGCAAATACCGTCACTTCTGCTTAATCCGCTTTGCGATGACGGTAATGCTTTGAGTCGTTTCAATAAAATCAGCAGGTATTACTTTCAAACGGCTGAATGCAAATTGACAGCATGTTTGACTGCCGAAACAAATGAAAGCCTTATTAGGCGGCCTGTGTGCGTCCTGACTTGTGCATGTGTGGACACAGACAGGAACCTTTATGTTAGATAACACACAATAAATAAATAAATACAAATAAATGCGCGTTATTCAGCCAAACCAACACATTATTACTGAACCTCTAAGCTGCTCAGTCCTCTGTATGTTAACTATTTTCAAACTACTTCCAGTTATTTTATTTAACAGAAATGCTGCAAGAAAGCAAATGTGTGGCTGTTATTTGTATTATTTTGCAGTAATAAAGACAGAAAGCGCTGCAGGTCAGAGGTGTGAATGATTGGCTCGCTCTTTGTGATCGCCTGTTGGAAAAAAAAAAAAAAAAAAAAAAAAAAACAAGGAGCAACTGGCAGCCTAAGGAGTCAAACTGAGGTCAAACTTTTTGCAGCCCCGCAGCTCTGCGCCTAAACATGTTGGGATCTGCAACCCAGAAAAAAAAAAAGAAAAGAGAGAGAGAGAGGGAGAGGGAAGGAAGGCCACTGAGGCTCCTTCTGCTTTGTGTCACTGCTGCAGCACAGACAGAAAAACCTGCTGCAAAGTTTTCACAGTTTATCTAATTATATGAAACTACTGCTGCATTATGGGATGTCAGGAGACGCGCAGCCCGGATGGGAGCAGTTTGACTTGTTCACTCATGGGGTTAAAATATAGAAGTAAATAAAAAGGGGCAAATGATTTGGAGATTTCATCCAAAAGTTCGTGTAACGAGCTGCAATATGAGGAAATAAAAATCATTAGAGGAGCTTCTCCATCATCAGCTACTAATCCATGATTATAAACAGAGGTGTTGGAATTATTTTATTATACAGTTTGTCTAATTTCTTGTAAATCAGGATGGGATTTATTTTTATTTTATTTTACTTGCAGGATTTTCTAAACAGATAACAGCTCTCACATCCTGGGAGCGTCATTACGCTAAAAAACGTCACTGCTGTTGGTAAAAATCAGACCTTTGGCGTGATGAGGATAAAACAACAGATCGAGGTTTTAATTCCAACCCATGAAATCAGGTTTTTATTTATTTTTATTTTTAAATCAGGAGGTAGCTCTGTCCTCTGGGAGGTTTTTTTTTTTCACTGGATCCTGCTGCAGTTTGGCCCAAACGTTCCTGTGAGCTGCTCCTCTCTCCTCCTCTCACACACATTAATGCTTAATCATTTGCGCCTTCTACCGGAGCTGCAGGAAATTACACGTGATGCAGAGCGACGGAGGAAAGCTCAGGTCACTCGGATGAAAGTTCAGCTTCTGCAACGTAAACGCGCAATTAGGCTTCATGTGCACCTCTGATGCACTGTCAGTAATTTTTATCTTCTTCTATCTGCTGCAGTAAACGCTGAATATGTCATTTATATGTAACACTACCTGCAGTTTAGTCACTGTCCCTTAAACAGAATCTGGAAACAGCTTTAATTTGTGCACCTTCTGCACGTTTTTAGCTGCACCTTTAGTGCACTTTTTGCACTATTTTCAGCCAAAGCATTGAATATGTGCAGCAGAATCAGTCTTTTATGGAGCTCTTCCTGCACCAAATGTGACACCTTTACAAAAATAAGCTGTATTATTATTATTCTTCTGTATTTTTTTATATTTTATACCTGCACATTTCTTCCTCTGGTTTTTATATTTATTTTTTTAACAGCTGTTGTCTGTTTGTGTGAATGACTGACAGAGTTGCTGTTTTATTTTTTAACACACTGCAATGACAATAAAGTAATTCTGTTCTATTACCTTTTATAAAGAAACGACATGTCATATTCCTTTTTATCTTTATTCGTGTAAATATTTGCCAATAAAACATGTAATAGCTCCATTTGTGTTTCAGTGTGTTGCCTTTGATATCCGGTGTCTCTGTGTGTGTTATTTTAATTTGGATTAAAAGTGTTATTTCTCATAAAACGCTGCAAAATCTGATCATTTACAGTGAAAGTGACATTCTAGCCGCTGCTCCTGCCATAAATAAAACCCAAATAGACTCATAAAGAGCCACAAGTAGATTAAATCTGTTCTTTGTTTACATCACTTGTGTTCTAGATGTTGCTTTAAATATAAGAAGCAGTAATTGAAAGCTTTATTTAGCCTCGACACAGGAAAGCTGCTGC